AAGCAGCTCAGAGCAATTTATATTGAACTCCTAGGACATCTCTCTGGGGAGGAATGGTAAAACCAGCACCTCCCCCTGCAGACACTGAGTGATAGATGCTGAGTGATTGTACCTCACATACCCCTCTGGGGAAGGAGCCCAGGCAGGAACAGCACTGAGTTAGGGAAAGCTCCTTTCTCCAGCACACCTTCCTTGCTGAGCCCCAGCTGCTGCTGCTGCTGCTCTGGAAATCATCCCACAGAGAACAACCCTGCAAAACCTCCCAGCACGAGGGGCTTTAACTCACACTCCTTTAACACACACCCGGGGGTTTAACTCCCCCTTCTACTGAAAGAAACCCCCCCACTCCACAAGGCCCTGCCCAGGTCAGCTCAGCCCACCCAGCCCTGGTGCAGAGGGGTCCAGCCCCCCCTCCCAGTGCTCTGTTCAGGGCTGTGGAGGCTCTATGGCAGCAGAAAGTAGGATCTCCTAACACCCCCTGGGAGCAGCAGCAGCAGCAGCAGAAGATGCTCCTGAGGACAAGAGAGAGGTGGAGGAGCTGCATTTCTCTGCCTGCCTTCAGGAAGCCTTGCAGATCAGGCTGGCACGTGCTGGGAAGGCTGTCACTGGACCAGAGAGGGGTTGAGGCACCCAGGGATGGAATTTAGACTAGAGAGGTTAAATACTGAGGTTCAGAAGTCTCAGAGGAGGCTCCTGTGTGTCAGGAGCAGTGTCAGCATTGCCAGGCACAGCTGTAAAACCATCCCAGCAGGTTCAGCTGGCTCAGACTCACAGCCCCAGGAGCTGAAGGGCTGAGCAGAGCTCCCAGCAGTGCCCCGGGGCAGCTCCTCTCTGCTCCTCCACCCACCTCCCTGGTGCCATGGGCTGTGCCCAGTGCTGCCTTCCCTGGGCAGCTCCTTCCGATGGACGCACGTGTGGAGCTGGGATTGGGGCAGCTGAGGAACACTCTGGAAGTGCTGGATATCCTGGCCTGGAGTTCCCAGCCATCCCTTCCCTACCCTGGAGCTTCAGAATCCTAAATGAACTTTTAATTTTTTTTTTATTATTACTTGGTGGTGGTGGGGTGTGTGTGTTGGATTATGGTTTTTAAGGATTCATTATTGCTAAATTCATTTTGCTGGCTGTAGTTACTAAATTGTAGTCAGGGGTCCTTTTTCAAAATCCTTTCTTGGAGAATTTTACTGAATATAATCCTTTATGTACAAATGCAGGAGTTATTAGTCCTTAGTTATACTTTAAAATTTGAGAGTGGTAAATTGACCATAATAAAATTTGGGGGTTTTTTTCCAATGTATGGTGGTGTTTTGGATTTCAGATTTGATCTTTAAATGATCAAAACCAAAGCAAGCCAGAAGCTGCCTCAAATTGTGCCAGGGGAGGTTATAGGTTATATATTAGGAAAATTTTGTTCACTGAAATATGCTCCCTGGGGAAGTGGTTGAATCAGCTTTCCTGGAGGTATTTAAAATACCTGGATTTAAAAAACCCAGGGTTTAGGCTGTATTTGGGTGGGGGAAAATCAAGCAGAACTGGAAGGAGGGTTGTGATTCATCCCAACCCCAAACACTGCATTAAACTTGGCATAATCCATGAGCACACCAGCCCAGAGTGGGACCCTGAGGGCTGCTCTGGGCATGGGGCAGGTCCTGACCAACCTCCACAAGTTCTCTTGCTCTGCTTTTCATTCCTGGGCTACCTCAGGCGTGGGATGCAGCCTGGGAGAAGATTCTTGGCCTGCTCTGGTGACATCAAGGTGGCACAAGCCTTTTGTGGGGCTGCACACACCTGGTTTGACCTGAGGCCCTGCCATCAGACCCATCCTTCCCACTGCTCTGGAGAGTGCCCGTGGTCTGAGTGGGGTTCCTGGGGTGCTGTGCCCTCTGCCCCACATGGATAATGCCTGGTGGGATCAGGGATCAGGCTGGAACGGACAGAAGAGCATTGAGGCATCTTCTGCAGCTCTGACACTGCAATAAAAACTGAGTGTGTGGAATTACAGACTGGTTTGGGCTGGAAGGACATCTGGGTTGAGCCCAAGGTTTTAATGTGTGCAGGTGGAGCTGCTGATGGAGGTTATGACTGAGGACTTCCCTGACATCTTCAGGGAGGAGATGGCTGGAGATGCCTCTCCCCAGGGCACTGTCACAGCCCCAAACCTGACAGAGCTCAAAGAACACTTGGACAACACTCTCAGGGACAGGGTAGGATTGTTGAAGTGTCTGTGCAGGACTAGGAATTGGACTCCATGATCCTTGTGGTCCTTCCAGCTAAGAATTTTACATGATTCTATGATTTCTGTCCATCAGCCAAAGAATTTCCAGCACCCATGGGCAGCTCCAGAGGTAGGAGGAGGAACTGGGGGTTGTCACAGCCTGGGGCTTGGGATACCAGAAAATTCAACATCAGGACAACGACCGGTGTAGGACTTTGGGTGGGTTTTTGCTTCAGGAGTTCTATTTTTACTTCCAAGAAGTCACTTGTCTGCACATGATTTTACTTTCTAGACCTGCATTAGTTTCTAAGAGCAAAGTGACCCTGCAGAGAGATCAGAAAAGGACCACCAGACAAAAACCTTTCAGGTGCTTCTCCCTCTCTGCTGGACATCCTCAAAGAGGACGAGGGAGGTGCAGTGGTGGAGTCCAAAAGGGCAGAGGTATGTCAGGTCCACACACGCTGTGACAACGTGCCCTGGGAGGGGAGTCATTCCTGATAAGGCTGAGAAGCTGCTGTGGCTCCTCCTGGCAGACCCTCCCGTGTCCTTTGGGGCTCCTCCTCCCCTACAATGACACAAAACACCTATAAAATACCTACAAAAAGACAGAGCTGCCAACTGCAGAGGGCTTTTTTTCAGGTACTCCTTCATCACAGCTCCATCAGGTCTACTTTGGGGCAGGTTGTGCAATCAGCATCTTCTCTGTAGAGCCAAGGTGGCAATCTGGAATCAGTCACTTAATGCTCCAGGCCAACTCTTGGCACATGTTAATGCCAAAATTTCTGGTTTAGGCACCTTGAGCTCTGTTTCCAACCTGGCATTTGCAGGACAACTGATGAACCTTTCAGAGGCAAGAAGGTAAAATGAGCTCACTTTGGTTAAAATGAGAACTGAGCCCAGTGGGTTGTGGCTTTACCTCTCGGATCCCACTGTGGGGTGGAAAGGTTTGCAGGGTCTCCTCAACACAACAAAACCAAGGAAACCAAAAGGGAAAAGAGGCCTGGGGAGAAGAGAATGAAAGAAAACAACCAGAAATAAGGAGGGAGAAAGAAAAGTCTTTGGGGGATCAAAAACTGAAAAAATACAGGAAGGTTCCAGCAGGTCCAACTCAGCTGAAGGTGCTGAGAAGACCATTTGGGAACTGAAGACTGGATTTGATAGCAGGGGATGGTTTTTTATCTGAGCACCCACAAAGACAAATTTCAGAGCATTCCTGCAAATGAGGAGATCAAATCCTGAAAGAAGCTGAACTTCCCTCCAGCCCTCTGGTAATTACTCCAGAGCTCATTCTGGGCTGGCAAAGCCAGGCCTGAGAAGGTGATAATGCCTGAATAACAGATAAGTTATTTATTTGTGTATCTAAAGCCTTCATTGTCCAGCCAAGAGGAAATAAAAATATCTCCTGGATCAGGCAGAGCTTTGCCATTGGGAGGGAGCAGCACAGGAATGGAGGGCTTGCCCAGTGCTGTCTGTGTGGGCTGGGTGAGGCTGGGAGACAGGACCAGGGCTGTGCTGGGCACCCTCCTCTGCCCTGTGATTGCCCTCTGGGACATGCACAGTGGGGGTGCCAGGCAGGACCTTGGTGACCTTTAACACCTGGGATTCCCTGGGCAGCAGAGGAGGCAGGGAATGTCCTCCATGGCCCTCAGCCATCACCTCACTCATGGATGAGCAGTGGGGGGGCTGCCCAGGTGGCAAACAGGCTCTGGATGCCCTGGTTTGGCGAGGAGATGAGGGAGAACACTCCTGATGTGAGACATGCCCTGGAGCCAAGGCCACCCCCAGCAGATACCTGCAGCTGGGCCCTGCTCCAGCCCCTGACAATGACCTTGTCCCCAACAGCCCTGTCCCAAGTTTGGCATCCTCTGGCCAAGAGATGGGACAGGCAGCTGCCACCCCACAGCCTCTGCACTGTCTTGGGATGCCTTTCCCAGAGCCAAGGGCTCCCTGGGAGTGCTCCACCTCCCCCAGACTTTCCCTGTGTGTCAAACATGCCCAGACCAGGGAAGCAGGAGAGGGAAGATGCTCCCGGTGGCACATCCCGACCTGGGAGGAGAGGGTGGAAGCCCTGGATCCCACAAAGCCATACTGGGTGTGCAGAGACAACCCAGGAGCTCTGGGGACTTTTGCCTTGTTTGCTGGTTCATCACTGCCTTGCTTGGTTCCCATTTTCGGGGTGGGCAGTGGCACAGGTTGTCTCATGTGGGACTCTCCAGCAAGACCTGCCTTTTGGAGGTGTAGCAAAGGTGTTGTATTTCAGTTGGTGCTGTTCAGTTCAAAGTATTGTATTCCAGTGCCTCAGTTTACCTATAAAGAGAGGGGAATAGCAGGATGTTTCCAGGCTGCCAGTGGGATAGCAGAGCCAGTATCCTGCAGCCTTCACTGGATCCTTGCACGGCAGGTGCTGCCCAAAAGTGACCCAAAAAAGTGACCCAAAAGTGACCCAAGGTGCCCTGGATCCCAAATCACAGCACACAGCCTGGCTGGGGGCTGGGTCAGGACCAGAGCTGGACCTTTTGGACACACGAGGTGTGATGCACCCACCCCTGGGTGTCCTGGGGGTAGGTCCCTTCCCTGGAGGGTTCCCATGGAATGGGATCCGCTCGGGGCCGGGGCCATGAGAGGGCCATGAAAGGGTTAAAGCTGTATCGTGTGCTCCCTCCCAATTGCTCTGCAAGGTGTGTTATGACATTTGTACTTCCTCTTGGCAGCCCGGGAGCAGAGACAGCGGGAGGGAGTGCAGGGATGCTGCCAGCCCCTCCCTGAGGGTCTCTGTGGGGGCTCCACCATGGGCCCCCTCAGGCTGCTTGCCCGCTGTGCCGTGTTCGCCCTCGTGGCCCTGCTCTGCGACTTCGCGGGGCTCATCTTCCTCCTCCTGGGCATTTTTGCTCCTATAAGCTCCTGGGACTTCTTTGTGTACGTGGGAGCCCTGCTGCTGGCCTTCAGCCTCCTCTTCTGGACCCTCTGGTACACCTTCAACATCGAGGTGCCCTTCGGGGAGCTGGGTTTGAGCTGAGCCACGGCAAAGCCAGAGCAGGAACTTGCACTCGGAGGAGCAACATCACGTTCTGGGAAGATCCGACACGTCACTCAGCTGGTGAAGAGCATCCCAAAAAGACCAAAGGGAAGGGTCTGATGGTTCTCACAGCATCAACCAGCCAGATGGACCCCCAGGGGAAAGGTACCTGCAGGGATGCTTTGCTGGTGTTGCGGAATGCAGAGGTCCTGTCAGGGCAGCCAGACCTTCCTGCCGGTGACAGGCACTGCCAGGAATAACACTAGAGTTTAAAATGCTCTGGAATGGATTAATGAAGGGGGGAAACTTGGGTTGGATGAGATGAGTCTCTGGATGAACCTGGGGAGGGGGATTTTGGTGGGAATTGGAGGTTGCTGAAATCTGGGGTTTATTTGCTCAGTTCTTCCCACCAGATGATGTGGGAGTTGAGGGTCCTGGAGAGTTGCTGCTCTCCTGTGACAGCTTTGTGTGGCAGAGGGACAAGGAGTGTGAGCCGTCTCCTGGCAATACACCCTGGGCAAATAGTCAATAAGGATAATCCAGTTCCAGGCTGTTTTTAGCACCAAACCTCTGTGTAAATGAGGTGAACAAACCCAACTGTTCCCTCGTGTACCCCACCATTCTGTGGGCACTGCTGGGAGGGTTTTGCCAAAGGGGAATGTTTTTCCAGCAAAGTAATAGGGAAAAGCAAGTGAAAGTTGTGTCAGGCAGGCACTGGTGATGTGCTGTACACAGCCCTGTGACAAATGCTGAATACACAGAGACTGGGTACAAAGTGCCATGTTTGAACCTTGGCTTTGAGATTGTGCCTTCTTAATCTCAGGCTGCTCTAGAACATGCCTGGTTTGCTTGGCAGTCACACAAAGGGCAGAAAGATCAGGCAGGTGGGCCTGGGCTGGTCCTGCAGCACGTGAGCAGGAGGGACCCACACTGAGCATCAGCAGGGCATGGAGGGGCTGGTGATGACCTGGACACCCAGGGCAGCCAAGAGCTGCCTCAAAGGGCTGAATTTTGACCCCACCTATGAACAGCAACACCTTTGCAAAGCTTAAGGGAGGTAGGAACCTCTGTGTGTTGGGAGAGCACCACTGCAGGGATGGCACCCACCTCCTTGCCAGCACCCCAAGGGGATGTTCCTCCTGTGTTGGCAAGGCTGGTGGAGCCAATTAGCTCGAGTTTTTTAACGTACTTGGAGCTGTGTGGTACCTAACAAAAGGGAGATGACAGCAGGAGGATGCTCCAACCGGGAGCCACCACCCAGAGCCAACCTTCACCCACCACCCAGAGCCAACACTCACCCAAGTTGATGATTTTTCAACAGTGCATGAGACAAAGAGGGGGCAGAGATGGGGAAGATGTCCTCACTGACACGTGGGTGAGAGTCAGAGCAGATCCCAGACTCACCTCTCTTCCCTTTTGGCATCTCAGCCAGGCCAGTGCCCCCAGGCAGGTGCCTCCGCTGGCAGGAACCTTGCCAGGGACATGATCCCCACCCTCGAGTCATGAGAGGGAGATTTCCTTGCAGGGTTTTTTATAAAGCCTCTCACAACCAATGAGAAACATCCTTCTTTATTATTTACTGATTTGTCTTTATTTCCTGTCGTGTTGCCAGTGACCACAAGAGACAGATAAGAAGTTTTCTTGCCTGTCCCAGGAGGGTGGAAGCTGCAGTGTGGGGCGGGGGGTTTCACAGCCCTCATGCACCAGGATTCCCAGGCCAGGAGTTCAGCTTTACCCTCCATCGGGTCTCAGGGTGCTTTTCTACCTCTGTGCCCTTGGGACAACCTCCTTCAAGAATTTCCTTGATGCACCTCAGGATAAGAACCTGCACCAAGCATCAGTTGGTTACTGCAGCTGTATATGAGGAAGGGCAGCAGGAACCAACACCCTCCTTTATTTGCTCTGGTATTTTTAATTTCTGGTGCTGAGCCTGTCAATCCAGCCTGTAAAGCTTGGCTGAGGGCTTTGTCACCATTCAGAGTCTGTCCCTTGCTGGGTGAGTGTCTGGGTGTGTCACTCAGGGTCAACATCCAGGGAGCTGTTGGTGTCACCCAGGGAACCCAGCAGGAAATGGTGCTCTGTCCCTGTCCCCACTGGTCCCTCCTGTCTCCTGGGCCAGTGGGACAGACACTCCTGGATGAAGCTTGTTGGGGAGCAAAGCCATTGGATGATCCATCACATCACCAGGGGAAGTTTCAGGATGTGAGGGGTGGAGGGGGATAGTCACACACAAGGGACAGAGCAGTCAGCCCTGTGCCCAGACCTCCTGGAAGTCACTGGTGAGCCCACACCCCATTCCAGGGAGGAGCAGAGACCTCCAATTCACCCATCACACACCAGCTCAGACCAAGCCCTGCACTGCCAGGGTCCTGCAGACCCCAGGATGCTGCATTCCCTGTGGGATGTTCCTGCTTGCACTTCTTCCCCTCTGTGACCCCTCTGTGGTCTGTGACAGTCACCCAGCTCATCTGGCTCCAGGCAGGGACATCCTCCAGCATGTGGTGCACAAATCAAACCCAAAGGGGTGTGTGTACCAGGTGCCTTCAGCATCCTTCACCTCCTCCAGGCAGCTGCAAGGCCGTGGGCACAGGCAGGACATGGTGACTTCAACTTCAACTGGAGCAATCAGGCAGGCCCAGCAACAGAGGGGAAGACTCCCACTTGTGGTGGGAGATGATGGGATTTCTCTTGCCTCCCTGTCCCACCTTCTCCCACGGTGAGCACCCACACCCCTCAGAGCACCAGCTCTGATGGTCTCCAACGTCCTCTCCATCCCAGGGACATCAGTCCCCCCTTCTCCTGCTGTCCCCAAGCCCCAGTGGCTGGGGCAGAGTGGCAGGCTGGGTGTGAGTGAGGCACCAGCGAGTCCCTGTCCCTCAGCACCGGCAGATCTGGCCCAAGCCCAGGCTGTATTGACTCAAGGGCTTATCTTTCACCACCGAGTTTTTGTGGTTTTGTACTCGCTGTGTTTGCTCCAGGCTGCTGGGGGTGTTCCCAGCCATGGGCATGGCATAGCCCAGTGCCTGTGGCACAGAGCCTGTGTGTGCTGGGCACTGGCAACCAGCAGTGCTCCTCCACCCCCTGGCCAGGCTGTGCTTCCCAAGTCACCCCACTCCCCAAAAACCAGCATCCTCCCGTGTTTCCTACCCTGATTCTTCAACCCCCAAATGCCATGGGAGTGCACTCCAGGAGTTCTCTCTCAGCCCTCCTTGCAGCCATGGCATCCCCAGCTTGGCACCTGGGAAGGAAATATCAATCCCAGCAATATCTGGTGTTTGCTCATGTGCCTGAATCTTCCAGAGAGGAAAAAAATCCTCCTTTTGTGACTAAATGTTATCAGCCTTCCTCATACCTTGACCTGGGCTGGTCCTGAATATCACTGGGCAGCTCACAGGGTCCAACTGAGAGGGTGATGGCTGCACACATGGACATTCTGGACATCTCCTTTGCACCCAGAAATTGGCTGGTTCTTCTGTGTGGGATCTGGCTTGTGGGAAACGGTTCCCTCAGTCCCACTGTTATGATTTTAGATGCCTTTGTTGAAGAGATCTTGAATTTCTAAGCTATTAACAGGGTCTTTTAAAGTGTTCACATCTCTTTTCCCTGTCTGTTTGTAGGGAAGCAGGGAAGGACGAGTGTGAATGTGAGGAGTGAGCAGAGGAAGAGGAGCAGCACCATACAGGGACTCTGTCGTGCTGCCCTTGCAAAACCACCCCTGCAAACCCAGCAGGAGCTGTGCCACCCTGCCCTGCTGGGCACCCTGTCACTGCTCTGGGCACTGGAGACACCCCTTGAAGCATCAAGACCCCTTTTGCATCCTCTCCAAGCACCTTGATCTCACCTCCTGCCCACTGCTGCTCTCTCAGAGGGCACAGCACAAGCTCCCTGGTGGCAGAGGAGACTGTCCACTGTCCTGACCATGGGCCACAGATCCACAGGGTCCAGCTGGCAGCCTGGAGCAGCTCTGCAGACCTCACCCAAGGGATGGGAGATCTGGTTCAACAGGAGGGACTGCCCCAGGTGGAGCTGAGCCCCCTGACTGGGGACCCGTTCTGTGTATCAGTGCACTCAAGGGAGAGACACAAAGTCAGACAGGACAGAGGATTTCCTGAGCAAAATCCAGAGCAAAACCTGGGTGGAGGTCTTAGGAATGTTTTACCTAATCTCACCAAGGTCCCAGGAGCTTTGTAAGAGGGTCTTAATGAAATACTCAGAAGACCTTGGTTCAAAGAGCTGCAAAGGCCAGGAAAGGATTTAGTGCCTCAGCTGCCAAACCATGGTGGCTCCACATGGGAACAAACTTCCTGACTGACTCAAAACACAAATCTCAGGTGAGAGGAGACCTCTTGGTCTCCCATGTCTCCATTCTCCTCTGTTCCTGATGCTGATCATGAAGACACTTGTGTAGAATGGAAACATATATAGCACCTATCAAATATATAACAACCTATCAAATAGGTTGTTCAGCACTTTCCTTCACAGATACCTCTTCTCAGCTATTTAAAACTTCACCAAAATTTATTTCTGTGTGATTTCCTGTCCTGGACAACCTGCATTTGTGATAAGTTTTGCTGCTGCCCTCGGTTCTCTCTGCAGACCAGCTGACAGGACAGTGCTGGCCCTCAGGGACTTCTCTGTCAGGCTCCATATGGGGCCCTGATGAAGGAGGGGTCTCCCCACCACATCAGAAAGACCTCCCCAAACGGTCCTGTGGTGCTGGAGATGTGGTTTGGGCTCAGAGAGCACATTCTTTTGCATTCAGTCCATGCCATCAGCTCCACCAGCCATGTCATGGGCAGAGAAAACACCCCAGGGGCTCCAGAGGGAGGGGTGGGTTGGGGACACCCCCCTTCCCTGCTGCCCAGACCACAGCATGGGCCATGGGAGACTTCATGGGTGGCCTCAGGCCCTCAGTGTCCTTGATGTTGGCATTTGGGCAGTGGGGTTTGTGGGAGGGTTGTTCAGCGTGGGAGCTCCTGTTTGGGGAGGAAACAACTTCTCTGTCTCTGGTTCCAGGGACACGAGGCTGGTGGCAGGGCTGGATCACAATCCCTGCCATGAGGAGAGGGCTGGTGTCCCCTGTAGCCATCTAACCATCCTATCCTCCCATGCTGGGATGAAGGCTCCCTGCTCGAC